AGGAATGGGGTGTGTATCTCGGTGTGGTTTTAATTTGTATTTCCCTGATGATTAGTGTTCTTGAGCACCTTTTCCTATACCTGTTACCTATTTGTATGTCTTCTTTTGAGTAATATCTTTTCAGGTCCTTTGCCGAGTTTTTACTCAGGTTGTTTTCTTGCTCTTGAGTTTTTTGAGTTTCTCATATATTTTGGATAATAACTCCTTATCACATGTGTGGTTTGCAGATATTTTCTCCTTTGCTGTAGATTGCCTTTGTTAATTATTTCCTCTGCTGTGCAGAAGATTGTTACTTTAATGCAATCCTATTTATCTTTTTGCTTTTCTTGCTTATGTTTTTTGGGTCGTATCCAAAAAGGCTTTACCAAGATCATTGTCAAGTAGTTTGTAGTTTTGGGTCTTATATTTAAGTCTTTAATCCATTTTGAGTGGATTTTTATATATGGGGTGAGATAAGGGTCCAGTTTTATTCTTCTGCATGTGGATAACTGGTTTTTTCAGCACAGTTTATTGAAGAGACTATGTTTTCCCCATTGTGTGATCTTATGTTTGTTAAAGATTAGTTGACTGTGTATGTGTGGGTTTATTTCTGGGCTGTCTCTCCTGTTCCATTGGTCTGTATGTCTGTTTTTATTACTGTAGTTTTGTAATGTGTTTTAGAATCAGGGAGTGTGATATCTCTAGCTTTTTGCTCAAGATTGCTTTTGTTATCCAAGGTCTTTCATGGTTCCATATGAATTATAGAATTGTTTTTTTTCTATTTATCTTTGTCTGTTTTATGTTGACATAGTAGAATATTTGAGACTGGTTAATTTATAAAGAAAAGGAGTTATGGCCAGATACGGTGACTCATGCCTATAATCTCAGTGCCTTGGGAGGCCAAGGCAGGAGGATCACTCAAGGCCAGGAGTTCAAGACCAGCCTGGGCAACATAATAAGACTCTATCTGTATGAAAAAAAAAATTTAAATTAGCCAGGCATGGTGGTGCACACCTGTAGTCCCTCCCAGCTACTTCGGAGACTGAGGTGGGAGGATCACTTGAGTGCAGGAGTTCAGGGTTGCAGTGAGCTGTAATTACACCACTGCACTCCAACCAGAGTGACAGGATAAGACCCTGTCTCAAAAAGAAAAAGAAAGAAAAGAGAAAGTGTACTCGGGAAGTTGAAGGAGATTGCCCTTCTGGTGAGGGCTTCCTTGTTACATGATAACATGGCTTAAGTCACAGGGGTAGCAGACGAGTACAATGAGAGAGCAACAAACAGGAGGAGGAAACTTACATTATAACAGCCTGCCCTCACAGGAGCTAATTCTTCTTGCACAAGAAAGAATTTACTCACTACCAAGAGAATGGCACCAAGTCATTCATGAAGGATCCACCCCCATGACTCAAAACACCTGCCACTAGGCCCGACCTCCCAACACCTCCATGCTGGGTATCAAATTTCAGCATGAATATCGCTGAGGACAAACTCAAATCATAGTACTATTTCCATGAAAAATGTCATTGGAATTTTCATAGGGATTGCATTGAATCTATAGATTATGTTAATATTTATGTAACAATATTAATTATTTCAGTTCACGAACATATGTCTTTCCATTTATTTGTGTTCTCTTTAATTTTTTTATTAATGTTTCATAGTTTTCAGTGTACAAATCTCTCACCTTGATTAAATTTACTCCTAAGCATTTTTTTTTACGGTATTATAAATGGGAATTTTTTCTTGATGTCCTTTTTGGATCATTCATTGTTAGTTATAGAAATGCGACTGATTTTTGAGTTTCTTTTGTATCCTGAAACTTTACTAAATTCATTTATTTTAACAGGTTTTTGGTGGAATCTTTAGGAATTTGTATATATAAGATCATGTCATCTGCAAACAGTTTAACCTCCTCCTTTGAAATTTGAATGCCATTTATTTCTTTTCCTTGCCTAATTACTCTAGCTAAGACTTCCAATACTATGTTGATTAGCAGTGGCAAGAGTGGGCATTTGTGTTTTGCTGATCTTAGAGGAAAAGCTTTCAGCTTTTCACCACTGAGTATATTGCTAGCTGGTAGGCTTGTCATTTATGGCCTTTATTGTTTTGAGGTACGTTCCTTCTATACCTAAGTTGTTGATAGTTTATTAAAGTATGTTGAATTTAACAGATATTTTTTCTGCAAATACTGAGATGATCATTTTTTTCCTTTATTCTGTGGTGTGTCACATTTATTGGTTTGCGTATGTTAAACCATCCTTGCATGCCAGAGATGAATCCCTGTTGATCATGGTGAGTGATCCCTTCTAATGTGTTGTGGGATTTGGCTTCCTAGTATTTTGTTGAGGATTTTTGCATGTTTTCATCAGAGATACTGGTCTGTAATTTTCTTATAGTATTCTCGTCTGACTTTGATGTCAGAGTACTTCTGGTCTTGTAAAATGAATTAAGAATATTCTCTCACGTTTTTTAGAAAAGTTCAAGAAAGATTGGTATTAGTTCTTCTTTAAATGATTGTTCGACTTTACCAGTGAAACCACTAGTTCCTATGCTTTTCTTTGACGGGAGACTTTTTATTACCAACTCAATCTCCTTACTACATACTGGTCTGTTCAGATTTTCTATTTCTTTGTGATTCAGTCTTGGTAGATTGTATGTTTCTGGGAATTTATCCATTTCTTGTAGATTTCCTGATTTGTTGGCATATAGTTGTTCATAAGTCTCTTACGATTTTCTGTATTTCTGTGGTATCAGTTTTAATGTCTCTTCTTTCATTTATAATTTTTTAAATTTCACTCTTATTTTTTCTTAGTGTGCCTGAAGGGTTGTTCATTGTGTTTATGTTTTCAAATAACCAACTAAGAATTTCATTAGTCTTTTCTGTATTTTTTTTTTCCGTTCTCTATTTCATGTATTTCTGCTCTGATTTTTATTATATCCTTCCTTCTGCTGACTTCTTACTTTGCTCTTCTTTTTCCAGTTCCTTGTGGTGCAACATTAGGTTGTTTATTTGGAACATTTCTCTTTTTTTATGTAGTTGTTTATTTCTATAAGCTTCATTATTAGAACTGCTTTTGTTGAATTCCCATACCTTTTATTATGTTGTATTTCCATTTTCATTTGTCTCAGGGTATTTTTAATTTTTCCTTTTAATTGCTTCATTGATCCATTGAATGAATGTTCAAGAGCATGTTATTTAATTTCTATTTAATTTCTACATTTTTGTTATTTTTCCAAAATTCTTCCTATTGTGGATTTCTAGTTTCATTCCATTGTCAGAGAAGATACTTGATGTAATTTCAGTCTGAATTTGTTTTCAAGACTTGTTTTGTAGCCTAACATTTTCTGCTAGGAGAGTAGGAAGTAACTAGACTGGGATGAAATGGTTCAGAACTGTAGCATTTGGAAGGGATCATTGAGCGCTACCACTGAACTGGCCAGTCGTTGATAAAAGTGAATGCTCTGTTCTTTTCCTCCATAGAGTTAGCACTACAGTGCTAGGAATGTTGGTTACAAAAAAATTATTCTACTTTTTTTTTTTTTTGAACTTTTAGTAAGAAACATTAATTGGTAGAAGAATTCATAGTTATCCTGGTATTTCACTTGAAATATTTTTGAAAGTAAGCGCTTGCAGGGAACATGGATGTTTTTGTCTAAATTCTGAAATGATCACCTTTACACTAATTTCCTATTTTCTCTTCGCTCTTATTTGAGATAATTATTAGACTGAAATAGGTTCTTTGTAGTACATTTCTAATCTTGCAAGTATTCTTGAAAATCTGCGTATCCAGAGAAAATAAGTGTAGAATCATTATTTTAGCATGAGGATTTTAAAACTTTTTCCATTATTCTATCTTGCTGACTTAAAATTAGTATAGCTTTCTTTCTTGTTTTGTTTGTATTTTTACCTTTGAATGTTTCTTCATGTAAAAGTGTGTTGAGAGGATTGAGGGAGAGGGTTATGCTGCTGTGGAAATATTTTTCTTTCTTTTTGGTTAAATCTGCCCTCCCTTGTGATATAATCTAGGTCATTATAGTGTTCATATTTAATATCTCAGAAAGATAGTAAGTTCTTGAGTGTTTACTCCTTACCAGATGTTAGGCTAAATACTTTGTATACATTTGCTCCTTTAATCATCACAGCCACCTTTGGAAAGAGATATAATTATCATTCAGCCCTGTTGGACAGATGAGGAAACAAAGGGTTAGAAACTGTAACTAGTGAGTTGCAGAACTATGAGTTCAACTTAAATTTCTCTCATTCAAAATCTCATAACCTTAATTTCTCTGTCATACCATCTCTGAGAGTACTCCAGAAGGAAAACTTTCTCACTGAGGGCTGCAGAAATACTTGCACTATTTTCCTCACTTTCTTATTTCTCCATTTTAAAAATCATTTTTTCACTTTCATCCTCATCTGATAGAAATGGTTATGGAAGATGCAAAAAAACAAAAACAAAAAACAAAAACCCAGTGTCTAGCTTTGTATGAATCTGTCTCATTCTAAGAGGCCATCATTTGTACCTCTGTCATTGTTTTTGGTAATACCCTTGCAAGAAAACGTTCTCTGTTGGTTGGATCCTTCACTGCTTAAGTTGGGAGTTTTGATTCATTGTATTCTTAACATTTCTAATGACATAATATCTGAAGAAAGGAAGAATAAATGAAGAGTGTTTTAAAATACCATTTCTGCTAATCTAATGTAACAAAATTTTGTAACTATAAAACCTGACTACTTAACTAAAAGATCTTATCTTCAGGGTCATAGCACTGAATTACTTTCTGGCATTCTTTTACATTCAAATGTCTGGGTGTAAATTTAGTGACTTCTACATTTCGAAGCTAAAGAAAATTTCCAGCAAACACAGAATGGAAAAGAGTAAACACATATGCACTTGATAATTTGTTTTGATGCATTTGTAGCTTTGATAATAAAAAGTATTTTATATTGCTTTTCCTTTCTATTCTTAACTAGATTTTATTTAGTAGTAATGTGTATTTTTTGTGTGTGTTCAAAGGGCAGCCATTCTACAAAAGTGGAAGCTGTGGTCAGAACTCTGATGAAAATACAGCTTAGAGATCCAGGGGCCAAAGCACTCGTTTTCTCAACGGTATAATCAACATTTTCATCCTCAATATTAACTCGAACTGATTTTCCCTCGCTAATCAGTTTGCAGCTGAGAACTAATTTTTAATGTTTACTCTTTGATTTTTTTCCCAAATCCATAAGATAGAATTATTTTTAGAGAAATGTGATGATGCTTCACAAGGCAATTTGTATAGCTACATTTCATGATTTTTTATTCGTTTCGTTTAAGGATTTTCTTAGTTTAATATTTTTAAAATTGGAATTTCTGATCTTGAAAGTCTCATTTCACAAGAATTTGGGTTAAAAAAAGAAAATCTACTGAATAAAGTGTTGAGTAAAACCCCTAGTTTTCATTTTAGAAAACTAAGTAACTATATTCCAGTGTGCACTCCATTATGTATTTTCTACTGTTTGTTTCTCTTAATTCCATTTTCAAAACCAGCATTTGATGCAAAAAAAAAAAAAATACTGTTTCAGATGGAGCTAAATAATATTGATGGTACTACATTTGAGAGTTTTGGTTTTGGTTTGTATTTGCTTAACTCCAGTATAAAAGTCATTTTGATTTAATTACTTTTCAGATACCCTTAGATAAATGTTACATATAAATATTGGTTTTCTAATTGTTTTATGTGTTCTAGTGGCAAGATGTATTAGATATTATTTCAAAAGCTCTCACTGACAACAACATGGAATTTGCACAAATCAGTCGGGTTAAGACATTTCAGGTATGTTAAGATTTTACTCCTGGTTTTTGTAGTAGATACAGTTGCAAATTGAAACTGCTGTTAACTAGCTTAGTTACATTTATTGTCTTGTGTCACATAAGCCACATAAACAGCATCTGAGTTCTTGATTAATTATAAAGTGAACATTTAGAAGCAGAGAAACTCTAGGTATTTTCAGTCTATGTAATTATACCTATATATAACAAACCATTGGCTTTTTAAAGATCTCCCAACTTGAGGTTCTTTTTTTTTTTAAGTACAGGAAAAGATTGCCTATGATACACCTGTTCAATGGACAGGGGCCTCGCATCGCAAGGATTAAGTTCTAAAGTCGCCGTCAGGCAGAACTGCATGTGGTCACAATTATCCTTACATCATGCTCAGCATAGTGGCAGACGTATGACCTCAGGCACACACAGAGACCAAATGAAAATTTAACAGATTCATGTCTCTTATCTCACATTCACTCTTGCACATTCTTTCTCTTTCTTTCTTTTTCCTCTAACCTCGTATAGCTTAATTTGCATGCATAACATGCATCTGTCTTGTGATTCCTCTATATATTATGAAGAACAAGAGAGCTTATATGATACTTTTTTTCATAATTAAAATCAAGTGACAAGTTTACATTTTCTAAAGTTGGTTATTTTGCATTTAAGTTTCTTAGCTGTTACGTTTCACAATAGTAATAGATAGCATTAGACATATTTAAAGTGAGCTATTACATACTGCTCTTACTTTAACTGATCCAGCTAAAATTAAAATGTACCTTTCTTTTTTAGGAGAACCTTTCAGCATTTAAACGTGATCCCCAAATCAATATTTTGCTGCTGCCCCTGCACACAGGTTCTAATGGATTAACTATCATTGAAGCAACTCATGTTCTCTTGGTGGAGCCCATATTGAACCCTGCCCATGAGCTTCAGGCCATAGGGAGGGTGCACCGAATTGGACAGACAAAGTAAGGACTAAAATTAGAATCAGTCACATTTGCTTCAGTTTTCTGAGAAACCAAATCAGTCTTTAGACTGTTCATTTATGTTCATCATAGCCTACTTGTTTTTAATTACTTCCTTAGATACTACATTTTTTAATTATTTAATTATTTTATAACTTATTTATTTATAACTTTTTAATTATTTAATTAAAAGGCATGAGATTTCCAACCCTCCCTTCTCTCCAAGAAGCAAACCCCCAGATTGTCCCAAATTTTTCTCTTCCCTCCCACAAAAACCTTATCACTTTATCCAAAAAAACTTGTTAGAAATACTTAAGACAGCTACAAAGTTGAAGGCATCCATCATGCCTTTGAGAATGGAGTTTTGTCTAAAGTAGTCCCGTGTTTAAAAGAAGATATGCTTTGTACATGACTGAAAATAAATGGCTCTTTTTAAAATTCTTAACCTTAAGAAAAGACACCTCCTAGGTCAGCTCCAAGAGATGATTAGATTCAGTTTAAGGCCCAAAGCAAACCTAATAGTGAATATTATTATATGGCATGTATTAGCTTTATTCATATATCAGAATAGACAGTTATCTTTGATAAGGCCTGCTAAATGTGTTACCTTCTGGATGTTTAAAAAAGAAGTATCTTTTTTATTTAGAAATGTTAAATATCTTCGATGTTTAAAAAAGAAAAAAAAACACACATCCATAATAAGCACTTATTAAATCAATATTTATTGAGTACCTACTGTATGTCAGGCATTATTCTAAATACTAAAGGTTCAAATTGAATGATACATAATTTGTTTCCCCAAGTAGGTCACTGTGTAGTACAGGAAGCACGGTTTAAAGTGTTGGGTAGAATGTGCAGAAGTATAATAATAAAAGGACTGTGTTAACAAAAGAAGGTAATGATCACTCGAGCCCTACAGAGTCAGGAAAGGCTTTATGATGTTGAGTCTTGAAGGAATAATTATTTCAAAGTTGGCTGGAAAAGGGTAGTCACACAGCCAAAGAGAGTTAGATATGCAAAAATACAGTGGTGGGAAATGACATGACATTTCTAGGGACTATAAGGAGTTTGGAATTGTTGCAGTATAAAGTATGAGAAAGGGGTCATTGGCAGGAAATGAAGTCTTCTGTGTCATACTCAGAAATGTAGACTGCCCTGTAAGTAGTAGCGGGAGAGAAAATAAAGGATTTACTTGTAAACAGGGAAGAGACATGTTTATTAAACCCCTTAACAAATAGGGCAAAGTAACTGTAATAAATGCAGGCTTCTTCTAACTTACCACCAAGTGTCATTTAAAATGCAGTCACGTCTTTACTTGGTTTTTTGTTGGTTTTCTTCTATGTTTTTAAATATTGATATTTTGTCCTACCAATGTTCTTCTAAAGCATAGGCTGGACTGGTCTCATATTTAAAACCATAAGTCCAAATGGCCATTCAGCATTACCCAACAATCTTACTATGCCTCCCAAGTGAATCTGTTTTTTTCTACCTTCTGAGGAGTCTGTCTTAAGTCTGTCTTCTTTCTCACCATTGCAATCTTGCCTCGTACAGGGGAAACATATACAATCAGATTAGAAGTACCTCATCTTTCCATCATCAACTTGAACAGTCTGCCTGCATCAGTACTCAATGCTTTTTGGTAGATTTTTATTGAGTATCTTCTGTGTGCCAGGTACTGTTATGGGAACATGAGATGTCCTCATGGAGCGCAATTCTAACTGTAACGGGGTTGGTAGACAGAAAGATGGTAAACAATAAACATAAGTACAATCTAGACTATGTTCAGAGCTGGAAAAGTAGAGCAGGGTGAGGAAGTAAGAGTGCAGTGTTTGGGCAGGAAGGCATGCAAGGCCTTATTGAGAAGGTCTGAGCAAGGACTTGAAAGAAATGGGAAAATGGGAAAGTTAGTCACGCAGCTCTCTTGCAAAAGAATGTTCAAGTAAACAGTGCATTCGGTGCAAAGGCCCTAAGTCAGAAGTATGGTATGTTAGAAGAATAGCAAGGAGCCACAGTTGCTAAAGGGGAGAGAAGCAGGAGTTGAAGTGAGCGCACTCAGTGGGGAGAGGGATTATATTGGGCCCAGGAAGCCACTGTGAGGACAGTGCTTTTGCCCTGTGTGAAATCGGGAGCCATTGGAAGGCTTTGAGCAGAGGCCTGGCATATCTTAAGTTTTAAAAGAATCATTCTGAGTGCTATGATGGGGTGGGAGTGAAGGGGAACAAGGGAGAGTAGAAACAGGGAGAGTCTTGGAGGCTATTGCAGTCGTCCTGGTGAGAGATGAAGGTGACCTGGCCATGGCGGTAGCAGTGCACGTGGTGAGGAGTGGTCAGGTTCTGGATATATTTTGCAGATAGAACTGATGGTACTTTTGGACAGACTAGACATGGGGTGTGAGAGGGTCAAGGATAACACCATGGGTTTTGGCTTAGATAACTAGAAGGATGAAGTAACCTTCAGCTGAGCTGGAGAAGTCTACAGGGTGGAACAGATTTGGTAAGAGAAGAACTGACATCCAAATGGAGATTTCTTTTCTGTAACTAGATGTACAAGTGCATTAAGTCACGAGACTGAATGAGATTACCTAGGGGTGAATTTAGATAGAGATAGAATTTAGACAGAGGACCATGGACTGAACTCCAGGGCACCAAATTTCAACTACTCTAGGAGAGGAGAAGAAACCAGCAAAGGTAACAAAGATCAAGCAGTGAGTTAGAAGAAAACCAGAAGACGGGTGTCCTAGGAGCCAAGTAAAAAATGTACCTCAAAGAAGAGGATATGGTCACCTGTTGCAAGTGCTGTGAAAAATGTCAAGGAAGATAAGGATTGAGAATTGATCATTAGATTTAGCAACATGGAGATCAAAATCAGGTTAAGTGGTAGAGGTGACAGTCTGACTTTAGTTTTGGAGAAAATGGGATTTTGTGTATTTCTTATTTAACAAATACTTGTATAACAAAGAGAGGTTAGGTAACTTGCCCGTGGTCAGACAACTAGTAGAAGCGGTAGCAGATTTCAGGCACAGCCATTCTGCCTTCACAGTACAAGCTTTAACCACAGTGCACTGCTGCTTCTGTGTGGCTGGTACAGCTAGTATTTTGAGGAGTTTTGCTGCAGAGAAAAGGAAGAGAATGAGATCAAGAGAAGTATTTGTTTTTCCTTTCAAATGGGAGAATTCGTAAGAGAATGATTCATTAGAGACAACAAAAACTAGTGAAGGAGGAGAACAGGGAGAATGCTTGACAGTGTCCTTAAGTAGCCAAGAGGATACGGGATGGAACACTGAAGTGGAGGGAGGGGTTGGTAGGCAGGAGCATGGATATGTCATCCAGTAATAAGCAGGAAAGTACCTCATATGCCTTCCCTTTTATTACAGCAGAAGTGTCCCTTTTCTTTCAAAAGCCACTCATTCATTTGTCCTGGACTCCATTCCTTCTCGTATTTTCAAGGACAGGTATACATTTCCCTTGTACAGGTTGAGTATCCCTTAACTGAAATGCTTTAAGTGTTTTGCCTTTAGAATTTTTTCAGATTTTAGAATATTTGCATATACATAGTGAGATATCTTAGGAATGAAACCCCAGTCTCAACATGAAATTTATTTATGTTTCATATACAACTTCTACACATAGCCTGAAGGTGATTTTATATAATATTTTAAATAATTTTGTGCACGAAAGCAAGTTTTTACTGTGTTTTCACTGTGACTCATCACATGAAGTCAGGTGTTGAATTCTGCACGTCACGTTGGCACTCAAAAAGTTTTGGATTTTAGAGCATTTTGGATTTTGGGTTTTTGGATTAGGGATACTCAACCTGTCATATATTACTCCATAAATATGTCTTAATATTATCCATCTTTAAAAAGAAAAAAACACTCCGATACATCCTACCTCCATCTCTACTTTTTTATCCCCCATTCTCTGTCAAACTGTCTGGTTTATTTTTCTCTCCACCATATCACTGAAGTGAGGCTTATAACATTTTTAGTGACCTACTTCTTGCCAGTGGTCTGAGGCTTCTTTGTCTACACCCCTTCGATGAATTTTTCCAGTCTTAGGGCTTTAGGTAGCTTTTACGGGTTGACGACTCTCAGGTATATATTCCCCAGCCCAGACATGCCCATATAACTCCTATCCCAGGTGCATATATCCAGTTCTAGCTCTGCACACATATCTCTGGACTCACCGTGGATACCTGTCTAATAGTTATCTGATAGGTTTCACATGGACAAAATAAAACTGTGTTGCATCTGCACTCTCACTCCCACCCTGAGCTTTCCCCATCTTATAATGTGGCACTGTCATCTGTTCCTGCCCAGATCAGAAATCTAGGACTCTTCTATATTTTTGTTTTCACATCTCACATCCCAGTCATCTTTTAAGTTTTGTCAGCTCTGCCTCCAAAAGATATTCCAAATCTACTTGACTGCTGTCTTCTCCACTGACACAATCATAGTGCATTCACCCTTACTTACCCAGATGACTACAGAACTTAACTGACTTCTCTGGTGCTCTTCTTGCTGAACAAGAAGTACATCCTCCACACAGTCGCCAAAGGGATTTCTAAAGTACAGTCAGGTATACATCAAATCATGCATACAAACCCACCAAGGGCTTTCCATTATAACCACAATACAATTCAAATCCTTGGTCACATCCTGGAAGGCCCTGTGTGACCTGGCCCCTGCACACTTCTCCACCCTTATTTTCACCTCTCTCCCTTGCTTGCAGGATGCTTCTGCCATGCTAGCCTTCTTTTGGCCTCTTGAACATGTTAGACTTGTTCCAGGCGTGTTCCCTTCCCGGGCAATGTGCTGTTTCTTCCGTTTGGATGTTCTTCCTACTCCTCCTTTGCCTACTGGCCTCATTCCCATCACTGTTGTTTCAGTTTGCATGTCAGCCTCCTCTCAGCATTATATTTACTTGAAACTGTCTTACTCCTTTATATGTTTATCGTCTGTCTCTCGTTAGAATGCCAGTTCAGGAGATTAAATAGTTCATTTTATTTGCTGCTGAACCCCTCCCAGCACCTGCCACAAGTGGGCACCAACTGACTGATGAATATAGCATGTAAACTGTGAAGTCAGTTTGTACTGATTTGTTTTACTGTGTTTTTAAGCTTAAAATTCTTCTGTACCTTTTAGACCTACTATTGTACACAGATTCTTAATTAAAGCAACAATAGAAGAAAGAATGCAGGCGATGCTGAAAACTGCTGAGAGGAGGTAGGTAATAATTTATGACAAGTAGAAGGGGGAAGGTTTTCCTGTTAAAAGTTTGTATCTTTGGAACTTCTTCACTTAGATGACAACAAAAAATACAACACAAATACTTCTTAAAAGCAAGGTCTGACGTTTTGCCTTTTCACTGTTTCCCAGTCAGTGCTCCAGACTTTGTATATTTGAATTAATGTATTAATCATAACATAAATATAAACTATACTACATTTCTTTGCCACATTGGATCACTTTCTAAACAAAATATATCTTTATGCCTGACGTAAGCCTTAGTCTCATATGTGTAAACTAAACTCTTATTGCTACTTTCTACATCACACTTGTTAGTCACGTGCAAGTATAAATATCTGAACTTTAAAATTTGATTTTAAAATTTAAAATTTGACTGTAAAATTTAAAATTTGGGAGTCTGAGGCAGGTGGATAACCTGAGGTCGTGAGTTCGAAACCAGCCTGGCTAACATGGCGAAACCCCATCTCTACTAAAAACACAAAAATTAGCCAGGCGTGGTGGTACATGCCATAGTCTGAGCTACTTGGGAGGCTGAGGCAGGAGAATCGCTTGAACCCAGGAGGTGGAGGTTGCAGTGAGCCAAGATCGTGCCACTGCACTCCAGCCTGGGCACCAGAGCAAGACTCTGTCCCAGGGAAAAAAAAAAAAAAAAACTTAATTGGTTAAGGTTAATTGTGGTGTCAATCCAAAGACAAAACAAAAGCAGAGAGACCAAACCAGTCTTAATTTTAAAAGCTTGACTCTGGAATCATAGAATTTTCTAATATTTATGGTATGATTTATTTAAATCTTTTTGAAAACATAAATCTTTCTACATCTTTAGGAGGTAGGTAGGATTGGAAGGTACCCAAGGAAGAGATGATTGCCTTAGAAGGGATTGTCACATAGCAAAGAAGCAATTTGAAACCACAAATTTTCTTCCATTGTTGATTTCTGGGAAGGAAAGAGGCTTCCACAGGAGCCTTTTTACCTAAAACAGGAAGGCTTTTTAAAGTTCTTGTTCCCTTGCGTATCAGACTTCAGTGATTTTTATTTAGGTTGTTTTAATAAAATAACAGTTATGAGTTGTTTGAAATTCTCTTGAAACAATTTAACTTTAGGTGGTAAGAAGGTAATTTGTAAGGTGAGAGCCTTAGTAGCAGTTGTCAAGGGTTTTATTCTTTGTTCTGTTAATTGCACAGAGAAAAAAACATTTTGACAAACCCTAAACGTAATATATAGAAGTCTTCACTAGTTTTGACAAGGTATAACAATGATCTTATCACTTGCTTTCCTCTGGGAGTTTCTTATAGCCCAGTTACAAAAACTTAAGAAAAAATATGTGTCTAGTTCGTATTACTACAAATACAATCGCTGATGGCTTGGGGTTTCTTTCTGACTGTGCTCATTTGGAAAACCTTGCAGTCACACGAACTCATCAGTGAAGCATTCAGAGGCTTCCGTCTTGACCGTGGCTGACCTGGCAGACCTGTTTACCAAAGAAACTGAAGAGCTTGAATGAACTACACTTGATTCATTCCATGGACTTTAGTGTATTAATAAACTTTCATAGCTGTAGAGCAAAGTTACAAGTTTTAAAAACCCAGTAGATAACAGTTACCACTGTTCCTAGTTGAATGAATTTGTTTCTTGTTCTGGTTATACAGTGGCCTAGTACTTACTGAGTCCTTTTCAATATACTGTTTTCAAAAGATCTATAAAGATTTTTAATTTTACACTCCTAATAAAATATTTATTTTTTGTCCCAAATAATATCTATATCTGACAATACAAGGGAATTAAGAGAGGTAATGTGTACTTTTCTTATGAAAAGATCAGTCATAAAAAGAGTTGGAATAAGAAAGTAAACTAGTCTAGTTTTATATGACCTGGTATATTCAACCAACATAGATCTCAGTTTTTGGAAGGGCCTTCAGTATCTTTAGCACATGATTCACCAGTATCTTGTTAGTAATATTTTAAGTAGATGGTGAACTACATTAACTCATTTTTTGAGTAGGCTTATACCATAACTTTACAACTAGTAATTTTGCAACTCCTTAGAATAAGTTAATGTCAGACAGTTATTTCTTTCTTCTGCATCTTGCTACTGAAAACAAAAACAATGAAAATACTCATATTTCTATTATGTGTAAAGTGGTGTTAGTGTAGACAGTTAACTCCAAATAGATTTTTTTAATGTATTAATGATTACCTTAAAATTATCTGCTTTCTCTACTCTTAATTTTTCTTATTGTTAAAGTTTTTATATGTTGTAAGATTGATGTATCTGTAAATATTGCAGTTTTTATGATTTTGTTTTATTATAACATGGAAATATGGCAGGGTTTTGTTTCAATCATTATTATACTGATGTCTTGGATTCTTTTCCTCTCCCATGTTCTTGTGTAACTAGAACTTTTCAGCCAGTGATATCTGAATTCATGGTAGAGTTGTTATTTCACTCTAGTTGTTCCTCCCTTAAGCACGAGTCTTTGACCTTTTGAACAAGAGAATGCCATGTTCACATAAGCGAATCGTTGCAAGTGGTAATAACCAAGTGTTGTTCTTCTGTGAGGAATTAATGGACTTTGAAATTGCTGAATAAGGAGTAGCTTGTTATATCCTAGCCATTTGATGTAATGCAAATGTTCTTGTTTGGCTTCCTTTTCTTTGAGCCTTCAGAGTTTTAAAGGACCTTCTTTGACCCTCAGGACTTACTAGCTCCTAGTCAGCTGCCTGGAAAACTCATAGAACCATCCCCTGGATCCCATTTGTCCGAGAGGCTTTGGTGCTCAGTTAAGGTGCATTTTCTTACTCTAGGTTTATAGAGTGATGTAATTCAACTGAAGAAAACACACACATGCTTTTGGTGCTTATTCTTCAGTTAAAAGGAAGTATGCATTGATTCTTTTATATGAAATTAAATCAAACTTATTTTTATAGCTCTTTACATATTAAAAAGAGCTTTCCTGTACATTTACGTGCTTAATTTGCCCAACAATCTTGTGAAGTTGATATAATTAATATCATTCCTGTTTTAAAGGTAGAGAACTGAAGTTCAGATACATTGAAACTTTCTTAGGACATGTAGCAAGTAAACAGTGGAGCCCAGGTACCCTGACTCCATATCTTACATTCTTTTACTAATAACATGTCATGCTGAGATTCAGAAGGCCCATGCTTATAATTTAAAAATGAGACTACTTCAGTATTTCTTTGTGTTTATTTTCTACTATTCCTTTCTGAGCTATGTTTTAGAGAAAACAATTTGATATGCTTCAATTTTGTAAAAACAAATTACATATATATATAAAAATTATCTGTATTAGACAAAAACTGTTTTTATTTATTTCTGTAAGATATCAATTAAATAAATATTTTAGTGGAAATGAAAATTGTGGAATTCTTTGATTTCTGAGCCTCAGAACATATGGGGGTTTTTTATTTTTTCTTTCAATAAAAGATATCAAAATGGCTAATACTACAGAATCCCATATTTTATATACATTTGTTACATCTTAAAAACAATTATGACAGTTTCCAATTGTTCAAAACAAATACAAATCTGTTCCTCACATTTTCTTGGCTGCAAAGGATTTTTTAAGTTTTCTTCCTCTATTATTTTATAGCCTCTGAAATATTACTATGTTTATAAGTAGTTGTTCTTTTTTTTTTTTTAATTTATTTATTATTATTATACTTTAAGTTGTAGGGTACATGTGCATAACGTGCAGGTTTGTTACATATGTATACTTGTGCCATGTTGGTGTGCTGCACCCATCAACTCATCATTTACATCAGGTATAACTCCCAATGCAATCCCTCCCCCGTCCCCCCTCCCCATGATAGGCCCCTGTGTGTGATGTTCCCCTTCCTGAGTCCAAGTGATCTCATTGTTCAGTTCCCACCTATGAGTGAGAACATGCAGTGTTTGGTTTTCTGTTCTTGTGATAGTTTGCTAAGAATGATGGTTTCCAGCTGCATCCATGTCCCTACAAAGGACACAAACTCATCCTTTTTGATGGCTGCATAGTATTCCATGGTGTATATGTGCCACATTTTCTTAATCCAATCTGTCACTGATGGACATTTGGGTTGATTCCAAGTCTTTGCTATTGTGAATAGTGCTGCAATATGACCCAGCCATCCCATTACTGGGTATATACCCAAAGGATTATAAATTATGCTGCTATAAAGACACATGCACACGTATGTTTATTGCAGTAGTTGTTCTTAAATGGGTGCTATGCTAATGAACCAGTGAGAAAAAATGAGATAGCCGCAATTGTTAGAATAGCCCCAGTCATTAAACTTAAATGTGTTTGGACCTGGAGAATCATTTTCTGTTACATGATTCCATATGAGTTTACTAGAACTGAAAAGATATGTACAACGTAAAGTGCATATACCTTACTTCACAGCCGTTTTGCTTCAAACTCAAGATAACTTTACTGTGTTTATTGCAGCATCAGTGTTTCTCTTTGTATGTGACCTGAGCTGAATAAGCCATGCATTCAGTTTTACGAATTGTTATCTTTCATAGCACATGAACAACAAACTAAAAATCTTAACATGATAATTCAACATGCAACTACTAATACTTTACAAATAATGATCAGACCAACTATTTATCTAAATATTTAGGAACTGAATTTAACAGTGCAAGATTAATCACCAACACAAGCTCTCCTTTCAGGTGGACAAAGTAAGAACTCATGTCTTTTTAATCTCCTGCTCTCATTTAATAGCTCTTCCAGTGTGCTTAAGTTATTTGTGTTTATTAAACGACAAGATAACCTTTCAGAAATGCAGAGATCACCCATGCTGAATAACCTCAGGCTTACTTAATTCAAATAAAAGGTGTCTTTCAATCTTTCTAGAATTTAGGTAAACAAAATCCCACAATGTGCCATTTCATAATTTTTAACTGGCATACAAATGCAAAAATGGAATGTAAAAAAAAAGAATTTAAACCAATTAAATGAATTAAAAACCAATGCAAAAACAAAAAGAAGGCATTACAACAGAATACTACAAGCAATGCATTTTAAGCCTGTCTACTCTGATAAAGGACATGTAGTCAGTAAGACTTCTTCAAAGTGAGATCAGTTAACTGTTTATAAAATTTTCTGTTTACAAGAATCCTTATGTACCTCTGTTACATTGTGAAGCCGACATGAATGCTTATCACATGTAAGGGTTGAATTTAAATCATTTGCAAGCCTTCCCTTAGAGGAAGGCTATGTAAGTAATTGATAACCCCAAAGGGGGTTCGAGCCCTATGCTAGGTATGTGGTGTTGCCTCTGAGTTACAAAACAGATAGTATCACATCCAGAAAATAGCACGAGTACTTGGCAGAGGCCAGAGTTGCCATCTCCAGCCTTCCCTTGCCTTCAGACAGCCTTTCAGGGGCATGTATAGCTCGTCTTTGAAGAGTGAAGGTCCCCACACCATCCTTGTATCTTCTTCATTTCATGTCAGTGACTCTCAATACTGACTTTGGGGACTGACTTTGTTATCTTGAAACCAAATTTTTATTGCAGCTTACGCTTCTTTTCCTGCAAAATAGAAATTTTAAAAAAGCAGCCTCCATTATCTGTATAAAGATCTTTGTATAGGTGACTACTATTATTAAAATCAATAACTTTTTCTCTCCCTATCAAAAAATCAGCCTTTTTTAAATGGTCTGCCTTTCCAAACCCTATTGTTATCTTTGTCTCTCCGGTAAACCTGTTCTTAATGCTCCATACCTGCCTAGAGAGCATATTAGAGGAGCGATTTGTCCAAAGACACATTTTCGATCTATGGGATCTTTCCAGACCTGTGATTTGTATGTGCGCACAGTTCTGATCACTGACTCTTCCAGTATTCTAAGGAGCAAACATTTGTGCTTATATTTCCTTAGAAATCATTTCTGTACATTTTATTATTTATTTAGGTTATACTTACTGAAATTACCTGTGGTCATTTTCTGCCAAGACTATTTAACATTTACCGCATCATGTCCCTAATTCTTTACCCAGATCCGTAAGGCACTTCATGCGTGCCTCTTCTGTTCTCTTGGCTTCCCATAATCAAACAACTGCTATCTCCAGTTATTTTTCCAGAGCCTTTGTAAAAATTTCCATTGACTGAGAGCATCATTGCCTGTTGATAACGTTGAGTGTATTTTTCCTTTGTTCCAGAATCATGTCTTCTTTGGTAAATGCAAATCTGTGTTTTAAACAGGAGTGCATTTTAGTTTCTGATCTTTATCAGAATGTTTATAAGTGATTCCGCTATTAAACTGTGAAAGCATCAGTGTGGAATGTTGTATTTACCTAAAACTTCCCCAGTGCTTTTCACTTCTCAAGTCCATAATTATAATCATGTTAATGTTTATGTTCTGCAACTGACCGTTTTCTACCCTGCACTCAGATTTGCCTTCCCAGGTTTTCTACCAGCATGATAGGGTGCAAGTAAAACTTTACACCTCTGTAAGAGGCACTTCTGTCTTTTTTTTTTTTTTGAGACGGAGTCTCACGCTGTTGCCCAGGCTGGAGTGCAGTGGCGCGATCTCGGCTCACTGCAAGCTCCGCCTCCTGGGTTCACGCCATTCTCCTGCCTCAGCCTCCTGAGTAGCTAGGACTACAGGCGCCCGCCACCGCGCCCGGCTAATTTTTTGTATTTTTAGTAGAGACGGGGTTTCACTGTGGTCTCGATCTCCTGACCTTGTGATCCGCCCGCCTCGGCCTCCCAAAGTGCTGGGATTACAGGCTTGAGCCACCGCGCCCGGCCCCTTCTGTCAATAAGTTGTTAATGATGACTCAAGCAGTCATCTCGTTTACCCAGTGATTTATTTTTAAGGGATTACTCTTTACGCATACAGCAGAAGATTTAGCAAGTTTCCTTCTTAAAATGGCTTTGGTCTTTCAAGCAAGATAAAGATCTCTACTGAGTAAACCACGTGTTTTATTTTTAATTTTTTAATTTTTATTTTTTGAGACACAGTCTGTGTTGTCCAGGGTGAAGTGCCATGACAGCTCACTGCAGCCTCAACTTCTCAGGCTCAGGTGATGTCCCCACCTCAGCCTCCCGGGTAGCTGGGACTACAGACATGCACCACCACACCTGTTTATTTTTTTGTAGAGACAGGGTTTCGCCATGTTGCCCAGGCTGGTCTCGAACTACTGGGTTCTAGCAATCCACCTGCCTCGGCCTCCCAACGTGCTGGGATTACAATAAACCACCTTTTAATTCTCTCTCTTTTTCCCTTCCTTTCTTCCATTATTCCTTATTTCTTTTTCTTCAATCTTATTTCCTCTTTGGTTTTGAAACTGTGTGTTTAGACATTGGAAAAAGCAATTTATCCACCATTACATAAAAAGGACGCTTATCAGACCACTGCCCAAGCATTCCTAACCGGAGTCAGTGGACTTATGGAGGGAAAGAAGGTCCACAGGTGAGCTTCAAAGGGCAAACTCCCAACATTGTGTACCTTCCAGCCGCTTCCTAGAGACAGAGTTTCATATTGTCTGTCAGATTCTTAAAGGGATTCAAGGCCTAAAAGGACCCATTGCCATAGACCATCAGTTTCGAAGTGTGATCCTTAGGGATCTCCAAGACCAAGCAGTCTGAAAGGCCCTGGGATTTTCTTCATATGTGTCAATGAAAACAACATAACACATTTATTAACAAAGCTGACATATGAGAAGTTGCTTGCCTTCAGTTAGGGAACTTTAAAGAGATTTGCAAAATTGTACAACAATGCCATTCTTTTCACTAAGTCTTTGTTTTATTTTAGAAAATAGTTATTTTTCATTTCACAATGTGTTATTATATGTTAACATGTAATAGGTTTATTATTTCTAGTTAATATTTTTATATTGCTTAGTTTTAATTTCTTTTTTTTTTATTTATTATTATTGTACTTTAAGTTGTAGGGTACATGTGCATAACGTGCAGGTTTGTTACATATGTATACTTGTGCCATGTTGGTGTGCTGCACCCATCAACTCATCATTTACATCAGGTATAACTCCCAATGCAATCCCTCCCCCGTCCCCCCTCCCCATGATAGGCCCCTGTGTGTGATGTTCCCCTTCCTGAGTCCAAGTGATCTCACTGTTCAGTTCCCACCTATGAGTGAGAACATGCGGTGTTTGGTTTTGTGTTCTTGTGATAGTTTGCTAAGAATGATGGTTTCCAGCTGCATCCATGTCCCTACAAAGGACACAAACTCATCCTTTTTGATGGCTGCATAGTATTCCATGGTGTATATGTGCCACATTTTCTTAATCCAGTCTGTCACTGATGGACATTTGGGTTGATTCCAAGTCTTTGCTATTG